GAATCGAGGGAAAGTCTGTGACCCTTTCTTTGTGTCCTTTTGAGTTTGGGTGTCCTGGGCGTTCCTAAAGTCGGAAGGTATTCTAAGTTTGGTTATGGCTAGGAGTTGGTGTTGTATTTCCTTGGTTTATTAGGTCTTGCCATTCTTTAGTCCATGTTGATGTTAAAGTCCTCTAAATAAGAAGTAATGTCAAACGAGAGGATCTTCTAAAGCATGAAAGAAAGACCACACCGTTGGCAATGAATCTTCGAAAAGATTAAGTCATTAAGTGGGAACCTTTCTTACATGTTTTGAACAACCTCAATCGGTTGAAATCATTCTCAAGTATGAAAGAAATGAATGATGGATTGATTATTAAACTTAGACTCTCAAACATGAAAATGAGTAAAAGAAAGCTATATAACAAGCAACAAATTACATATGCTAACTTATGAGATCACAAATGTACTAAACAAGGCATGAACCAATTGAAAAGGCTTGGATAGCCTCAAAACAGCCCTTAATACATGGAAAACAGAGGTAGAACATGCATGAAAAGAGCTTGAAAAGCTAACAATAAAGAAGAGAATATAAACTCAAACCCACATGGAGACACTGTCAAACAAACTCATTTAATAATCCAGGATGTCATATTGAAGAAAGTTGCGAGCATTCAAAACCAAAAACCAAAAACCAAAAACAAAAAAACTGAATAGGTAAAAAGGTCGATATTCATACTCAACTCAAGCCTTAATCCATAATTATTCGGGTAAGAAGTTGGATAGCCACCATCAACATCACCTCCAAAAAAAAAAAAAAATAGTGCAAAATCAAAATCAAACCATATATCCATTGTTACCCAAAACAAATAAGGTACTAGATTATAGTGCAAAAATTGAGTCTCTCTGAACCCACCACCTCTTCCAGGCTTTTTCTCTTCTCTTCCCCCTTTCCTTCTCCTGCCGTTCCTCCTTCTTCTCTTTTCCTCTTCCTCTTCTTCCAATTGCGACACAGATTGCGACCCAACATTGCTACTATCACCGCCAACCACTACTCTGAAAACTATAGATCTAGGGTTAGGGTTCGAAAGAAGAAGAAGAAGAAGAAGAAGAGGAAGAGAGAAAAAGCGTGCAACAAATGGCAGAGGAAAGGAAGTGGATGAAGAAGAAGAGAAAGAGGATAAGGAGGAAAGACGACGGCGGCAAATGATATACGACGGACGGTGGAAAGGGGAAGAGAAAGATGATGCCCCAACGACGCCGACGAGGAAGAGTTTCTCTCTCTCTTGCGTTTAGATCTGATGAGAAAGAACAAAAACAAACAAAAAAAAAATTCATTTTGTATATGGTGGGGTTAACAAAATTGGAAAAGATCAAAGGGTATTTTCATCTTTTTGTGCTCAAATAAAAGGGTAATATGATCATTTTGTATAAGCAAGTAACACTATTTGTGTAAAATTGACAGATTGGGAGAATCTTGATATTACCAGTTAAAGTAGGAGATATTTTGTAATTATTAAAATTACTGGGGAGGTCTCTGTATTTGTCAGAAACCTTAGGGGAGGTAAGCGTAATTTATCCAAAGTAATATTATGAATAGGATGTTGTGGATATGTAAGAGCACCTACAATGACTTGTTATTGGAATTGTTATTGCCATAATTTGGTAACTCCACCAATACAATGTGCTTCAATAGCACTTTATAACAGCTACTATGTTTGAGAAATGACAGCTGTTATTTGTGTCGAAGAAACGCAGAAATTGGTCCATTGAACATTTGCTCAGACGTCTGGTGGACTAATTTATGCGTTTCTTCCTTTATGCGTTTGCTGAAATGGTCTGCCAAAATGACTGGGAACCATTAGAACACCATTGCTAGAATTTGACAATAAATTATAATAATGACAATGCTATAATAACATTTGTCATTGGAGTTACTCTAACATGTTAGTACTAACATGTTGTCCTAATGGAAAATTTAATTTCCACACCAAACTTATGTGCAACTTGAGACAAATAAATTATTTGGTTCTTTTGATAAATTATTTGGTTCTTTTGATATTTTAATGAAGCGCACTTTATAATTTTGTAACAACAATGCTTAATAATTTAAATTTTCATGACTTGAATGACCCAAAATGACAACAACGTTGTTTTAAAATATTTGAACCATTCGGGTTACACAAATTTAAACTATCAAGCATTTTTTATTTTGTAAATATTTAATAAAATTGAAGCATAAAGTGCATACTGTTAGTGATGTGGAAATAAGCTTACAGAATTGCGCACTGTCCCTGTACTTGTGGGATTTGGAGAGAGAAATGGGTCGAACAAGTGGGCAGAGCATACCCAACATAGCATACCCAACAATAGAAATGTCTAAAATATTGTTTAATCCATTAAAATTGCTCAATCTATACCGATCATTGAAACAGAAAATACAACTTTTGATGGTTAAATTATATGCTTAAATTATTTACTACTAGACAATATTTTTTTTAATACATATATAATATTTTTGAGATAAATACGAAAGAGTACTTGGAAACATACAGGTACCCATGGATGCTGTACCAATTGAAAAAACAATATTGTCCGGTACAGGATTAACAACTTTGATTATATACATGAAAAGAGCATGTAAAATCAATTACTATTTTATATATACATATATATATAAAAGTGCAAATTAGTTTTATATTATGCAAATATTTAATAATTATTTAAGATTATTTTTTACGCAACTAACAGATTGATACCTCCCCAACTGTACTTTGGTTACAGATAGCACATTTGTCAATCAGCCATCCATAGTTTGATTATAATTTTATTCTAAAATTACACCAAACCACATTGTGCGCACCCCTACCCGACAAGTAAGAACTTGACATTTTAGTGACTTCTTTAATTTTTTTTATAAAATAAAAAAATTAGTATGATCGAAATATTTTTTTTAGTTAAGTAGGTAGTTGTGAAAAAAAAAAAACAAATAATTGATTGGTGTGAATAATGTGATCTTTTATTAATTGGGTTGAATAGATGCCAAACTAATTTTTGTTCACAATTTCCAAAATTTTTTTGTAAGCACAAACGTAAAACTGTAAGCATAAACGTACACCCTATTCACTAATGTTGTATTTTGTTAAGGGATTTGGAAAGGAAAAAAAAATATGAAACTAAATGAAATGAAAGTATATTTTCTTCACATTTCACTTATCTTTTCCCTTTCCATGTCCCTTCCCAAATTTTCCAAATTCTCCAACTAAACACAGCGCAAGGAGATCTACCAACAAAAAATGCTGATTCAAAATTACTTTGCAATCAACAAAATAACTACCAATCCAATCAGAAGAAAAATAAAAATAAAATACAAAAAAAATGCCTATACAGGGAAAATGTGGTGCAATCCAGTGAATTTCACTAACCAGTTTGACTAATAAATCGAGAGCATGATGAATAATATGGTTCACAACAACACAACAATAGCAATGTCAATGTCAATTTCTAGTTTTTTTTACCAATACTTTCTCCATCCATAGAACCATTTTGCATGACGAAGAAAACATCCATTAATCATAGATTCAAACAACAATAATTGTGGCAATATAGCAGTGAGAGCAGAACACTGTTCTCTCACTTTTTCAAGACAAAACACAATTAAAGGCTAAAGTTTGGATGGCAGGACCATGCTCAATTCTCTATAAATCTGTAGCAGTCAATCTGGAAATTACATCGAAGTGGGAAGAAAGTATATGCATTACTCTCCGTGTTTTAACTTAACTAAGTGATCAAGTAGAGCACAGATATTGTAGGTGACAATACATTGTGAAGAGAGTACTATAAGGTCCAAGATAACCGAGGCTAGTAACTCCATTGTTATTATGAAATAACAAAGTCTGCACCCATCAAAGGGATGCACATTCCTAGGAGATGAAGAGAACATTACCTTAGTAGAGGGAAGACGACGGGCCAGTACTGACTAGAAGGAAGGAATTAGCGCTCAGATCAAAGGCATTAAAGGAGGAAACCCTAAGCCTACGCTTAGATCATGGATTTGGACAGGAATTTGAAAAAAGAGAAGAAAATGAGAGGAAAATATGAATGAAATATAAACTAATTTTTTTCTCCATTTCCTTTCCTTTTTTTTTCCCCTTTCCAAATCCATGATCCATCTAAACACAGCCTGAAAGATCCCAACCTTTTTTACAATTAAGAACCTTCATCAAAATCAGCAAGCCTCAATGGTTGGATGGTATAACTTTCTCGTTGTTCTTTTTCATACATAGATTTTTAAGGCATTAATTTATCAATAAGAAAGTGTAACACTTCACAACTTGGGATTGGCTGGTTTAGAGGGTATGGAGAACGGCGGGCACTGGGAATTACATAAGACACACCATCCTCCAATCTCTACCAATAAAAAAGAATGGATTCCCATTAAAATGAGATGAAAACTGAACCCTGAAAAGAAGACAAGACTTCTTTTATCCCATCTCACCTCTAATTTCTCAAATTCGTTGTCAAATACCCTTACATCCCTCTCCAACCAAATTTCCAAAAATACAGCAAAAATGACAATCTCAAACAACTTGAGCTTTCTTTATTGGAACCAAATCCACTTTAATTAATCAATAGCATCTGAATATAAGAGGGAGGGGCCACTCAATCCACATCCACCATATGAAATAGTCTATACGTTGAGATCATGGGATGAGAAAATGTAAGAAAAGATGGTCAATATTTTCTTCATCCCACCTACACAAAATACACCACTTTTTTTAACCACTTTTTGAGTCTCGAGTAGTATCAAATTGTTCTTGAACCAATTTTTGAATTTTGCAGAAACTTTGGAGTAAATAGTTGACATAGGTTGTTTCGCTTGCTACTTTTTATTCATCCTATGTAATTTGGATGGCAACGTCTTGATGCCTTTTTTTTTGTATTTTATATATAATAATAAGAAAAAATGTAAACTACAGACGACAGCAAATAAATTATAACCAGATAATTCAAGCAAGTCACTCCAAACTAAAAAGATCAGCAGAGACATGAACGAAGCTCCATGAACTAAAACGAGTTCTGAAACTTAAAAGTTCAATCTTACATTTTTGGAATAAAAGTACATAACACAGGTAACGCCAAATAAGTCCTGAGATCATATGTTACAGTCAAACAGGGAAACATTTTCTGGCATACCTGTAATAACAGACAGCTTGGGGCAATGCATTAAGAACAGAAGGCATGCATTTCATCCTGAAGCTCTTTCTTAACCATAAACTACCGATCAGCTGAAGCAACAAAAAAAAGGGGGCATAAAGAAGGGCAATTGAGCATAAATGAGAAAGTAATTTTGACAAGTATGATCATCTTGTTATAATGCAACATCAAGAAAGTGATAAATATGCAATTAATAATATATTCTCTTTTACCGCCAATAAAATGAAAAGGTATCATCTAACATGTGTCTGCTGCAAAGAAATGGACTGACGAGCTTTTAGCTAGTTAGTAGTTACAATTTACAAATAATATAATCTCAATGCAAAATCTAGGGCCTCAAGGTTCTCAAGTGAATATGATGTTTTTAGTTTTGAGAATGTAGAAAATGCAGTTGAGGACAGTTGAGTTGTGTGATGAAGGTAGGATAAAGGACCCACACAATTGCTTAAACTTGCGACTGAATTATAAATATCAAGGCATACTGAATATCGTAATTGTAATTTTAAATAACTCAAGGCAAACTCAGTATCGTAGTCGTTTTCTGGTATATCCATCCAATCAAGACTCAAGAATTTCCGTACTTTATGCAAAGTTTTAAATAATGGGTAGCAATTGCCAAAACAATAACATGACGCTGACAGTTGCAATGTGAAACGACCACAGTATAACGGTGGCAACAACTGGAGCCACGAATTTTTTACGTCTTCGCATTAAACCAACTGGAGCCATTACTTAGAGAAAATTTACCTATATTTCATAATCACATTTAGTGGGTTCCATATAGTATTTTGTAGGTTTTTTGCTTAGTTTTTAAACATGATCATATATATGTACTAATTTTTACACTATGCAATATGTATACAATAAAAACAATAATCGAAAGCAAAGATACCATTTTGTTGAGGCTAATGAAAATAAAAGGCAAATGAAGAAAATAAGTGCATAATTTTTTAATGACACAGAATCACTCAAACCCCAAGGGAGTCCACCACTAAAATCAAACTAAAACCAACGAAAAACTTATTTCAGATTCAAAGCAAGAAATTCAAACCAGCAAGTGTTTACCAGGTGTAAATCAATTCAGCATGGGGGGGAGCGGATATTACTATCTTTTCTTCAATCATTTTCGAAGTTCTTATGGTTAAAAAATTATTAGTATTACTACACCTAATTTAACTATGATATAATTGCAAAACCCAAATAACTTTATCACACAAGCACTAATGAATAAATATATCAATAACAGTAGTTCCCATTTTGGCTCTGACAAAGAAATTTGTAAACACTTGTCTATTTGAAAACAATTATAATAAGCATGGTTCATTTAAAATTATGGGCATTAGAATCATTAAGCAAGAAAAACAAAATGGACAAAGAAATAGTAAGCAAGTAGGGTATCTCCAACCTTACCTACAAGCATCAAATTAGCTAGCACCATCCTCAATCAACTTCACGAAGAAGAAAAAAAAGCCATTAATAAAAATGACCTCTGCATTTCAATGATCCACAAAGGCATTTTTTCCTCCTCTCTTCTGCTTTGCCAGACTGAACTATCCCATAATCATATGTCAACTCTTGCATGGGAGGAATGTGACTGATTGCAAAAAATGCAATATGGATATAGGATTCATTATTACTTTCTCGTAAAACGGGTTGCCAATAAACATTTGGAGTACAACTGTGGTTCATAAATCTAGCTACATTCCCACCATTTTTTGCACTTATAACAAGGGGGAATGGGCTTTTCGGAGACTCGCCTGAGTTGCCAGGCATAAGCTCTAATGGTTCACAGGTGCGATTTGCATCAAAAATATAGTTATCTTCATTATCCCTCTCAAACTCCTCTGCTGTGGATATATCAATGACTTCTCCTGCATACTCGCAGATAAAAGTTCCTGCACGAATGGGATCCCATGACCTTAGACCCCAACCTTTATCCTTTGTTCTAAACACCTCGAGACGGACTTTCAAACCTGCCTGGGATGTTCGGTTGCGGCAGTTTGGAGGGCATAAACATGAAGGACCACACTCATGAATTAAAGACTTATAACTCAAAAGAACTCCAAGTGCAGTATAAGGGAGAAGCCCTCCATTTTTATGAATGCAAGGGCAGTTGATGTCACCAGGTTGACATCCACCTCGGCAAGTGCAGCTCACAGAAGGTTGTGGCAAATTAACGGGTTTTGGATACTTGAGACTGGGATAATATGTGAAATAAGCAGGGCCCTTTTCATCATCTACATCATTTACAAGAGAAACTGGTAAATTTTCTGCCCCTGAAGTAAGGTCGGGCAGGATAACCCCAACCCTTGAAGTTATGCCTTCCTTCCATTGTTGAATTGATCGCCACAGCATAAACCCTTCAGGCTGGCCAGGAACTCTAACCAATTTATACTTAAAAACATTGAAGCCTGATTTCCCTTTCTCAACCCAGGACTGCTGGATTTTATAAAGGCCATCATAGAGGTAGATTTTCCCAGTTGGATTTAATGCATCCTTCACACCCCGAATAACTCTTACCTCATTAGCCCGATGCAAGCTCTTCTCCAAGGCAAGATTACCCCTCTCAAGTTTCTGATCCATTATGTTTATGAATCTATCTTTCCTGTTCATATTCCCACCTTGGCCACTGTAAATCAAGACATCCGCATCCTCATTATTGTCCTCATATCCTCCAGATGCAACAATGCTGACAGCTATAGGCTCTTCATCCTTAACCTTGAGGCTCAGGTAATCAATCCCAGCCATGGAAGGAGCATGCAAACCCACCAAGCACAACTCCATTCTGAAAAAGAAAATATCCCCAACCTCAATCCCTGGTATTGCTCCAATCCTCTTCTTGATGTTTGTTCGAACTCCTTTATTCAGCAATATTGTACCAGCCCTTAAGTCCGGGCGTCTTGTAATCCCTGGAGTTGCCTCCTTCCTGTCTTCAATTTGGGTAATCCTTCTCCGGAGCAAATTATATATCATGAGAATATATCTAATTGACTCCTTGTCACCATCAGCTTGTCTAACAGTATCAAGTCTTGAGAGATTGAATGACATCAGGAAATTATTGGCTACTGCCTCAATATCAACATCCCTTGCGACCAACCGGCCGGTCTTTGTCCTCTTCTGGGAATTCCCTTTTTTCTTGGCCATCTTACTAGTATCTTCTGCATCAGTAACGTGCATACTGAAGCCACTCAGATATTGGTCACTATGATTTGGGGAGTCACTATAACCATCTTCATCCATGTCTATACCATCTGGTTGTGACTGAAAACCGGATGTACGATTTCCAGAACTCCTTTTGGATGACCCAGTGCCTCCATTTGCAGCTCGCGCTGCTGGTGTTCTAAATGAAGTTATGGGAACAGGTGATTGAATTGTATTGTTAAAGCGATTAGGTCCACCGAATGGGGTTTGAGGGTTCTGTTCAGAAGACTCAGTTGGAATGAGAAAAGGGTAAAATGGAGCAACCCCAGGTGGAAAAGGACCGGTCGGAGGGACACACAAAAAGGGGGCAGCTTCAGGGGATGAAAAATTGGAAGCACTAGGTGGGGATGGGAATATCGGAACAAGACATCGCAACGGCCTTACAGTCAAAACCCTAGACTTATCAAAAGACCCAGATGTAGGAATAGACTCTGAACCTAAACCCTGTTCCATTACTAATCACAACACACTTTAAAGCCACTTAAATTACAAACCCACAAACAAAATTCCAGAAAAGTACCAAACTTTTTTCACCTTCTTGTATTATTTCATTTTCTTCTTCTGCTTCTACTACTCCATACAACAGCTACATCTACTCACCAAAAAGATCTGGTTTTAAAAAATTTTAAAAAAAAAAAACACAAATAAAAACAAGAGATTAAATTTGAAGTATTACCCACAAAAATTAAGAGCGGAATTAGCAAAAACTAACAAAAATTACACGAATTTGAACCTGAAATCCAGTAGAATCTGCTTCCTGCAACATGCAAGCAGAGATTATGCTGAGAAATAGAAGCAAAATCAGAGCTAAACGAACGATCCCCAAAAATTAGCTAAAACCCTAGAAAAACCACCAAGTAAGAGTGATGAAATGGAGTGTGGACGAGAAATTATACAAGAAAAAGCAAGAAAAACACAAAGATTTGAAGAAAATTAGCTAACATTCAACAAAAAGAGATTGATCGTTTTATGTAGAAAATGAAATGAAATTATGAAAACTTGAATACGGATACAAATGAAGATGGAAAAAAAACAGAGATTTTTACCTTTCGGATCAGACAAGTTAAAATCATCCGAACAAAACGAAAGCAGATCGTCGAAGGACGAAAATGAAAAGCCGGAAAAATGAAAAAAAAAAATTAGAGAGAGAGAGAGAGAGGAAGTGAATTCGAATCTCTCGTAACTTTATGTTTTGTCAGAGAGGCACGCTCTTCTCTATTCTCTGTGGTTCTGTTGTTGTACAATTGTTACAATGAGATGATCACTTGAGGTTGAGTTCATGTGAACTTTGGATGGAACGATTACTGGCCTTTCGATCCGAATAATCTGGAACATTTCTGTGGATGAAACGATTATTGGCCTTTTGATCTTTGTCGTCTGATAGACTTCCACGACGAATTCGCAACTTCTTCTTCTTCTCTTCTTTTCTTCTTAATTTTTTAAATAATTAAAAATTTAAAAAAAAATCACTACAAAAATTTAAAATAATTGCATCAACTTTTGTTTAGGTGTCGTTTGTCTTTAGTTAAATAAGTTGATAAAATTTTGAATAAACAATAGGTACCACTCTTCCTCGAATTTATTAAGATTTATTTTGACAATTTATTATTTTAGTCCCAAAAAAAAAATGTCATTACATAAAAATTAATTATCTTTTTTTTATTTTTTTACCTATTTTTTTCATAAAATATTAAAAAATTAATAATAAGTGTACTTTTTTACTTTTTATGAAATATAGATTAGATATAAAGTGATTTGGTAGAGAGGTGATGTGACTTAAATAAGATGATGTGATTTAAAAAAGATATTGATTTTTTGACTTTTTTTCACTTTTTTAGATCATGCCAAACAAGACCTAATTTTCATAAATTTTGCAATTACACAAATATCCCTTTTAAGTCTAGTTTGGCTTCAGCTAACAAAGTTTTTTTTTTTTTTTTTTGAGAGTAATAGGAATGAATGTTTTGCGCGTATCTCTATTTAGTGCAGTTATTGGTAATTCATTTTATTCTTCCAAATCCTTCTTAGGAAGCATTTACTGAGTTACTTACAGAATCTTAAAACTTCCTGGATGTCAAGAATTTTTTGTGTCCAGGTTAATCTGAGGTTCAGCTTTTTTATTAAGGTTAAAAAAATAAAAGTTTTTTTTTGTTTTTGCTAAAAACAAAAAAAATTAACTTTCTCACTAACAAACAAACAAAATTTATTAACAATTATTAAACGCATCAATTTTTTTAAAATTATAAAAATGTGAAAAAAATTAAAAAAAATAACTAAAAAAATTATTTCCAACCCCTCCTTAGTTTAATTAAAGCAAACGGAACTAACATAAATATTCGGTAGACAAAATAATAAATAATAATAAAATATATATTTCAATATACAATAGAGAATAATATTATTTTTATTTATACTATTAACGAAATACTGATAATAATAAAATAAAATATTATATGAATTAAAATCTTACAAAATTTCATCATATGTATGCCAAATTTATAGGCCTCGACAAATTTTTTTCAATCCTCAATAAAAGTTAGTGTAATTTACTTATAAATTTTAGTTGGCTACACTAGATTTTATAATGAATCTCAATTTGCCACTATATTTTTTTTATCTTGTAATAAAAGTTCTATACTTTTAATGTCACCCTTTTGTCTTAGGTTGATTGTGCGATAATAAGTTCATACGGTACTTCAATTTGATAGTTATTGATTTAAATAGTAAATTTTTTCATTTTGATATTAATATTTTATGAAATAATATTAGACAAATACAAACATAATTTTTATACATTATATAATAATGTATTTTATATCAATTTATTGGAAGTTAAAATGACTATTAATATGATTTATCTATACTATATATTAAGCAAAAGGGGGTTTTTAACCCCAAGCCTTATGGAAGCTCCAATCTCCAAGATCTGGAGTCGAGAATCGAAGCTCTGATCAATGACTTGAGACCAATACTCGTAAAGCTCATCTCTGCTGATCTTGTCAACATTCAACTCATTTGAAGATGAACAGACGTAGGGTATTTTGGTCCAAGAAATTGATAAAATGCGTGGGTATTTTGGTTAGGGACCTGAGGCAGTATTACATTTTTTAATGTCCTTTATGCAGAAAATTGTTATTATTAGGGAGCTTAAAAAAAAAACCCCTATATAATAATGTATTTTATATCAATTTATTGGAAGTTAAAATGACTATTAATATGATTTATAATTATAAAACTCTAATTGCCATATAATTATGATATATGATAATTGATGTGCACATTGTTTTCTAGAACATCTAATCATCTTGATATGTTGCGATAAAAATAGAAAATGCCTATGTGACAATTGTCTAAATTAATTGTGCACATACATGTGAGCTCACACACTGAGAAATTATGAATTTTTTAGAATAATAGTAGCATTTATGTAATCGCTATAAATATCTCTGTCAACTTATTTCATAAAATTTATTTAAACTCATTACTTAGGTCTTGTTTGGCAAGCGGTTGTTTTAGTTAAAAAGTCAAAAATTTATTAAAAAAACCAAAAAAACTAACAACTCATATCAAAAAGTCAAATATTTTATTTTCTCTCTACTTTTTTGTACATTTTTTCGTAAAAAATCAAAAAGTTATCTCAAACATACTAATTTTTTTTACCTCATATTTTAGTCAAAAAATCAAAAAATTACTAAAATAACTTGTTCCCAAACGAGACATTAATATCAGAATTAATCGTCAAGTCTATTCCCATCTCAACCATCATTTACTATCAACTATTTTGACTTTCATTTTCAGTTCTAGTTATAATTTTTCGCCAATACTAAAATAAAATAACTTATATAAATAGTCATTTCAATATTGAAAAAATTAAGGTTGTATTTGGTAGAGTTTTAAAATTATGATTTAAGAATATAGTTGTATTTTGAATTTGTGAGTTAGAATTATGATTTGAGTATAGAAAATTTGTTTGGTTATGAGTTTTAAAAAGAGTTTGAATTGAGTAATGTGACATATAATATTGAAAAGTGAGTGTTTTAAAAAGCGGGTGTGATATTAATTTTCTAAAATTGTAACCAAACAATATATTCAAACTAAGGGGTATAATTAAATTTCAAAAGCTCTATCAAACATAGCCAAACTTTCTCTTCTTTTTTTTTTTTTTTTAACAATAACAACTCATATAGCTGGTCATTGGAAAAATTATATTGCGTACAAAACAAAGGTAGTAGGAAAAAAATAAAATGATAAAATTGCCAAATTAATAAATAAGAAACCGTGATTGCAAAAACTTAAAATAAACATTTTTACACACTTTGTGAGCGTGTGAATGAAAACACAGACATCTAAAAATTAATTTGTTCCCACAAACTTTAAATTTTAAATTTTGTTCCGACTTGCAAAAATGCATAAACTAAGGCACCTTTTTGCAAATTACACTACATTGTTACCTTCCCCGCGCAAAGTCTGCTCAAATTATATGGATTCTCCGAGGCAACCGTTGGGGTCTAGATGTTCTGGTTACAGAGAGTTATATTTTTTTGCTAAACATTATTTTTATTTAAATATTTATAAAAAAAAATTGTCAAGATTACATTTATAAGTTACAATTTTATGTTAATATAACCGAACGCTAAGGCTTATTTTGAAAAATTAGTTAAAAATTAATTTTTTGTGTTTTTTTTTTTTAAATATACTAGCGGTTGCCACACGCGATGCGTGTGTAATTCAAATAAATAAAAATAAAATAAAACATTTATCATATATTATGTGCTAGTTAAGTGGTAAGAGGCTTATTCCTTTGACATAAGTCTAAGGTTCAAATCCCCTCCTCTCATCTATCTAATTTTTTTTTTATTTTAAACAAAAAAATAGATACGTGGCTGTATAAGACACAAAAAAATAAGTAGAAATAAAAAAAATATTACACACGATGTGTGTGCAATTTAAATAAGTAGGAATAAAAAAATAATAATAATGAAATTAATATTATAATGTGTACTTAGCTTAAGTGGTATGAGTCCTCGTATTTAAACCCATTGTCATGGGTTCAAGCCTTGCCCATCTCTTTGTTTAACTTTTTTTTAAAAAATAAAAAATACTGCCACATGGCATGAGGAGAGTAAAACTTCAGGACACCATAAGAGGTGTTCACTTTATAATTGTATAGATAGATAGATATAGATAGAAGATAGATAAGGGATGTTTATCTTAAAAAAAAGAAAAGTGATGCGACAAAAAAAAGTTTAAAAATTAATAAATTGACTTTTAACTTACATGTCAAAAGAGGCCTTACTAACTGAGTCAATATTGTAAACATAAAATCAAACTTGAACTCGTAATTTCATTGCATAGTGAAATCACAAATCAACATTTGCCTTCGTTGGGGAAGTGGGTTGGCTTTTTGATTTTTTTGACTATTTTAGCCTGGACTAAAAAGTTTGGTTTGGGAACGACTTTTTAACTTTTTGACTTTTTTTATTTTTTTGTGAGAGAATAGTGTAATGATTATGGGTTCGATGTGATGTTTTGTTTGTTATGGTTAAAATAGCTTATTTTATCTTTTGTGGTTAAAATAGCGCCAAACTTCCTTGCCAAACAGAACCTTGATTTTTTAAAATCATACAATATTGATAATTGAATCCTGAAATTATGTAATGCTCGATAAAATAACATCTCACTTATTAAGCTAATTCATTGGTCTTAGTTTATAAGTTGGCTATGCTAATAAAAGTATACAGTTGATAATTAATGAAAACCCACTTTAAAAAGAGAAATATTATATTATAAGAAAGTCATAATTATTTGCAAGTGAATATTATGAATGTTTGTGTTGTTTGTTGCGTCATTTCACAGTAAAATTAACGAATATATGACTTGTATTCTAAAATAAAAATTACGAACTATTATAAGAAATAAATAATTATATAAAGAACATTATATAAAGGGGAATTGACCAGTAAATCTCATTTTATGGACTTGTAATCCATAAGATCCTTGAATGTTTTCTTAGTGACTGAGTGGTCCCTTAATTTGTTTGTTGACAGTTTTGCCACTGGTAGTATTATTGATTGACATTGGTTATGGGTTTGTATGGAATAAGGTGAAGGGATGTTTGTGTGTCACGCTAATCGAAAAAGCACACTAATACTGTTTTTAATTTAGTAAGTAAAACTCATAACATGAGACGTGGGTTGTGATGTGA